CACGTGTCTGCTGGCGCGACGAAGGTTAGCAGGGGCTATTGTGTGAAACATTTTGCAGTTGGCGCGGCAAGCGGTGTTCAGCTGTTTCACGCATGCTGCTTCTTGGGCGACGAACATGCACATCAGGGGCTGTTGTGTGAAACATGTTGCAGCTAGCGCGACGAACGTTATGTGTGTCTGATGTGTGAAACATGTTGTTGCTAGTGCGACGAACGTTGTGTGGAAGAGGTTGCTGCTAGCGCAACGAGGGCTATCAGAGCAACAGCGCTGGCGCTTCAGGGGCGCCGCCGCCTCAAACAACTCACACGCCTTTTAGGACTTGTGGTTTTGCACGTTCGTTTTAGGTGAAACACGCCGACTTTGCGAAGCCCCCTGCCCGGATTGCTCGAAGGTCGCTCTGGAAGTTCGTCGATGACCTGCGGATTTTCTTAATCACGGCTTCTTGGGCCAAAGTTGGAAGAGAGCGGTCCCCCCTCTCACGCGCAGGAAGCGTTTGTTCATCTGCGCTTGGGCGAAACGCTTGCGGCTGTGCCCTTTCCCTCCACCCACCCGCCCACCCACCCACCCGCCCGCCCGCCCGCCCACCCACCCACCCACGCACCCACCCACGTGTGCATGCACGCCCGCCCGCACGCACGCACGCACGCATGCTCTGCCCACCCGCCTGCCCACCCGCGCAACCGCGCACCCGCGCACCCCCGCACCCGCACACGCACATGCGCACACGCAGACACATGCGGACACAGGCGCGCACACGGACTCATACTCACACATGAGACCCCCACGTAGTCAAGCCGTAGTCAAGCCGTAGTCAAGCCGAGCAGGACGCATTTCAAGCGTGCATGGCCGGTTGAACGCATCAAAAGATCCCGAGTAGGCGTATGAGTGTCCGACAACAATGTTGTTTTCGCACGCATCACCCAAAAAAGTTTAGAAGGAACTTCGTGTTTCGGACACTAATGGAAGGTAATGTCGCGCGTAGACAAGAGCAAGAACACGCGCGAAAACATGCGAGGGCGTGCGGCAGGAAAATAGAAATCGCAAAGTAGAATGACCCTCTGCGGGTTTTGGCGCCTGCGGGGGGGCTCAAAGCTACCCACGGCTGACGGACGCTTGGGTCGGAAAGGGTTTGGAATGGGCTTGGGCCCGGCTTGGTCAACGCGTGCGCTTCTCGTGACGTCATTTTTGTATGACAGGCGAAGGCACTTAAACAAGCTGAGGTATAGTTTGCGTGGTGGGCGCAGCACTTTGGTGGGTTGGGGTGCAGATTTCGTGGCGCTTTGGCAGCTTGAGGTCCAAAATTTCGTGTCAAGTCTGGCAGCATCTTCGCAAGGTCCGGTGCGGATTTTGTGGCAGGTGCAGCGCTTTCAGAAGACACATGGATAGATTGACGGATCGACAGACAGACATATTAATAGATATGTAACACATAGATATATATAATTAGAACAGCTAGATACTGAGTGAGACTAGAAAGAGATGTAGATGGATAGCTACAAGATAGATGCTGCTCAGATAGGTAGATAGATAAGTAGCGAGGATAGAGAGACAGACAGAAACCTAAGAAAAGTAATTGCACAGAGAGACTGCCAGATACTTAGATAATCATTGGACAGATAGAGACAAGTATAGATAGATAGTTAGATAGCTGGGGTGATAGAAAGCTACGGCAAAGATAGATACATAGATAGGGAGACAGGATAGATAGATAGCTACCAAGACTGGCTAGATAGCTCGGTAAATACAAAGCGAGAAAAAGAGAGGATGGAGATAGAGAAGCAGAACGGAAAACGTAACATGGACAGGCGAAGCTGGTGGTCGGGAGTTTCTAAATATCAAAGTAGTGTCATATTATAAATTCTTTGGATCGCTTTTTTTTCTGTCCTGTCCTTCCTTCCTTCCTTCCTCCCTTCCTTCCTTCCTTCCTTCCTTCCTTGCCTTTTTTCCTTTTCTTCCTTTCCTTCTGTCTTTCTTTCATTTTTTCTTTTTTCCTTGCTTCCTTCCTTCCTTCCTTTCTTTGTTTTTCTTTGTTTGTTTCTACGCTTTTTCTTTTTTTTCTGCGTTTTTTTCTGCGTTTTTTCTGTGTTATTTATGTGTTTTTCTTCGTTGTCCTTTTTTCTTGTTCATTGCTTCCTTTGTCCCTTTCTTCTTTTTGCTTTGTTTCTTTCTTTCTCGGCGCCTTCCTTTCTTGCTTCCTTTCTTCCTTTAATTGTTACTTTCTTTCCTTTCTTTGTTTCTTTCTTTCTTTCTTTCTTTCTTTCTTTCTTTCTTTCTTTCTTTCTTTCTTGTTGTCTGTGTTTCTTTCTCTCTTCTCTTTCTCTCTTTATCTCGTTCTTTTGTTTTTCCGGTTTTTCTGCCTTTCATTCTTTCCTCCCTTTATGTTGTTTCTGTCTTTTCCTTCTTTCTTGTTTCTTTCTATCCTTTTTTTTGTGTCTTTCTTTCTTTCTTTCTTTCTTTCTTTCTTTCTGTCTTTCTTTCTTCCTTCCTTCCTTCCTTCCTTCCTTGCTTCCTGTCTTTCTGTTTTTCGTTTTGTTTGCATATCGGTCTGTCTATCTATCTCTCGATCTATCCGTTTGCTTACTTTTTGATTGGCCACCTATTCATCTATCTGTCTGTCTGCCTTTTCATGCTCTGTCTGGCCTCCCATTCACCCTATCTACCTGTCTATCTGTCTACACATCTATCTACTCGCTATCTAGACTCTTTCTCTCTTTCACTTGTCTATCTTGCTAGCCATCCAGTTTCTGCTTCTATCTGTCTACCTACCTGTTGTCTATCTATCCGATGTTTCTATCTCCACCTATCAATTTATCTATTCATGGGATAGATGGGCAGACAGAGGTGGAGGGAGCGAGAGTGATTCATACATGAACGGATACATGATTCGGTTGTTTGTTTTGTTGCAGAGGCATGAGCAGATAGATGGATGGATGGATAGAGAGATAGATGGATAGATACATACATAGACAGACAGAAAGAGAGAGGTATAAGAGGGAGAGAGAGAGAGAGAGAGAAAAAAAAAAAGGAGAGAGAGAGGGAGAGAAAACGGTAGATTCCAAACTAAACAGAACAAGCGCACAGATAGCTAGACAAACAGATTGACAACACATGTGTAAAATCTGCCTCCATTTCCCTACCTCCCTCAAGTCATAAGTCTATCTGGTTCTCTTTCTTTCTATCTCTTTGTTTTATCTATCCCACCTGCCCTTGTCTCCCCTTGTCTCTCCTTGTCCCCCCTTCTCTCCTCTTGTCTCCATTCATATGTAGGTTCTTGTCGTTCTGTCTCCCCTTCTCATCGCGTTGTCCCCCTTTGCCTCCCCTTGCCTTCCTTCTGAGAGGCCCGGTCAAGGTTGGACTTTCGTGCCGCTCTGTCCTTCCTTGTCTCTCCCTGTCTCCCTTCCTGTGTGCTGCAAGGCCGGTCAAGCTCGAGGGGGTTCTTGCCGCTCTGTGTTTCCTTGGCTCGGTCGGAGCTGTGTCTCCCCTTGACTCCCCTTGTCTCTTCCATATGTGCTGCAAGGTTGGACGGGTTCTTGCCGCCCTGTTTCCCTTGTCTCCCCCAAGGTTGCACGGTTTGTCTCTCCTTGTCTCCCGTCAAAGCTGGTCAAGGTTGGGACAGGTTCTTGCCGCTCAATTTCCCCAAAGTTGGACGGGTGCAACCAGGCTGGTCGCTCGCCTTCCCCTGAGCCCTTCCAGGTTGAGTGTCTCCGTTGTCTCCCCTTCTCTCGCCTTGTCTCCTTTGCTATGTGCTGCTTCACAGGTGCTGCAAGGCCGGCCAGATTCGGACGTTTGTCTTGCTTGTTTCCCCTTGTTTTGTTTTCCTTCATGTGCGTTGCAAGACTGCGAGCTCGAGCTCCCCTCGTCTCTTGTCTCCCGACAGATGCTGGTCAAGCTCGGACGGGTTCTTGCCTTGCCTCTCTTGTCTCAAACGGCCGGTATTGTCTCCCCTCCCTTCATGTGTGCTTCAAGGCCAGTCACTCCCGTTTTCTCCCCTTGTCTCCGCCGGCCTCCTTTCATATGTGCTGCTGGGATGGTCAAGCTCGGACGGGTTCTTGCCGCTTTGTCTCCCCCTGCCTCCCCTTGTGTCCTGCGGTGCAAGGCCGGTCAAGATCGGACGGGTTCTTGCCTCTGTCTCATTTGTCTCGCCTTGTCTCCCTTCACATGTCCTCCACGGCCGGTCAAGTCGTTCGTCTTAGCTTCGTTAAGCACGAAGCTTTTTGCGCAAGGAAAGCTTGCCTGCAGCTGTCAAAAGCTCAGCAAGGTGTAAACTTGCTGGCGCTCAGTCAGTATCTCGGCCAGCTTTCTCAAAAGAGAACATCAGATCGCAGCGCGATGGTTTGCGAAGAGGGGCCAAATCCCGTATGCCAAAAATACAGACAAGAGTACAGCTGATGTTCCTCGGCAGAGAACAACGTAAAGAACAGGTGTGATGCTGGCGATGTGGAGAGGTGACACTGAGCTGAGAGCAAAGCAAAGAACAGGTGATGCCACAGGTGATGCTGGCGACGTGGCGTGTTCTTTTGAATTTTAGATGTAGAAGCAAATCAGCGCGGCAGTGCTGTAGGACTTCGAGCATTTGCCCTTTTGCGTAGAATTAACAATGCAAAAGGGCAGATGTGTTTCAGATGAGAACAAGGCAAAGAGCAGGGGATGCTGAGGGCGCAGCAATGCGGGGGCGTATTATTTTCAATGGTGGACGCAGAACTGATCAAACACGGCAGCTATCCAGGGAAAATTGGAAGGGACAACTTCTGAATCAGATTTGAAAAATGCATCAATCTAAGCATGTTTGACAAAATAAGGAACAGCACCGCTGCCGAGGAGCCGACGTTTGAGCAATCCCAGTTGTATCAAAATGATCACGTTGAAATAGCAAGTTCAAATGAGACCTCCTGCAGGACGGAAGAAGGTTGATTTTGGTTTCGCCATGGCAAGACAACACATTGCAGTCCCGCACAAAAGGTGAAACGTTTGGCATGGCAGAAATCTTAGCAAACGTTTGCTTAGTGTGCCATTTGTTGTCTAAGTAATGTATTTTGCACTTTATGTATCCAAGTTTCTACTTGTCACGTAGATTCTTGATACGCAGTGGCCATTGTGTTGTTTTTGTTGTCCCAACGTTTTTTTAAAAGTGGACATCAGTTACTGACCGTCATACACCAAGTTTTGAGGTACAATCGCGCACGCAATGGCCCTTCTTAAAGAGGAACAACCTCAAAGCTGTTTGCAATTTTCGGGGGGTTGGGGCCGCTCTAGTGAAAAAGGATATTGCTGGTGAAATCACGGGAGCGTTTTGAATTGCTACCTTCAATCTTGGACATGAGTCATCCAGACAGCTCAAGTGGCACATCTTTGTTTTTCCTGACCATGGTTTCGTCTATCACTTCGAAGCTTGGGCCCATGGTTAAGTCCTTGGCTTCTCAAGTCCAAAGTGAGAGGGCGTCCAGATCTGCCAGCTGAGGCATTCGTTATTCTAGAACCATTTGTCATCGCATACTTCATTCTCGCCGAAGAACTGATTTACATCGCCTTGCTGTACACCTTCTCGCCTTACACGCCTCAAAGACACAATTGTGTGAACATCGTGAAGAAGAACATGTCCCGGACCGTCGCTGGACTTTGCATCTACCTTGGGTCAAAGGCCATGTTCGGAAGTTTGATAAGCGACGAAGTTCTCGACTATGTGGACATGGGCGTCTGTTTTATCACTTTTTTGGACGTCATGGCGGAGACACTGTCCATTGTAGCAGCTCAGTTGCATGAGTGCTTCATTCGGGCAAGGTCTTTTCCTGCAACCGCTTCTTTTTTACAGGTGCATGATGAAATCAACGATCCAGATGTCCGACCCCATCGAGAAGAGGCCTCGGTCAGGGTGATGTACCGCCTCACGCGGTGCCTGCGGAAGAAGGACTACATGCTGAACGTCAAGGACCCCGGCATGGAGGCCTCTTGAAAACATGCCTGGAAACACATTTTCCTCTGGAGGGCATGCACCGCAGTCCGCTGGTTTTGACACATGCCAGTGGGAATGGGGATACTATGCAACTTAGAATATTCGTGGCGGTTTGTTTTGACAGGCGTGCGAGACCCAAACATACGGAAGCCCGCATTCAACATATCCACGTCCAGGATCCTCCTCGTGGGTTGCCCTTTCGTGTCTTTGCAGACTAACACGGACACGCAAAAGGTGGTCAAAATATGATTCTTGTAGAGCCGTAGTATCCGGAGATCTCACCAAGTCACTAGAGTCACTAGAGTGTACAGAAACTCCAGCACTGCTTTGCCGTAAAACAAAATGCACTCGCAGTTGTCTTTTTTGTCAAATTGGTTGAGGCCCCAATCAAGTTGGCCAGTCCCGACGGGCGGATCTGGGATGGGAGCCACTCGGGCAAGGTAGAAACGGATGTTGGTTTCAAGCCAAGTTTAGCAGCTTGAGTATGCAGACAGCATGCATGTGTATAAGACATATAACATTTCTAGGGCTACCTTCCCCATTCTTTCCAGGCATCCTTCTTTCCAAAGACCACCCCAAAACCCTGGGGAAACAGCTGGTTTTTGAAAAGAACGATGGTTGAACAGAATGGGGAATCAACCCTTAGAACATTGCAATAGTTTAGGGCCACTCTGTTTCAGAGCTCTTTCTCATCTCATATTGTTTTCACGATGGAAGATTGCGTCCAATGCTGAATTCATAGCACCCCACAGGGCTTGCCTCCAAACGGGGCTAAGCATCAAATGATCTGTAAAGTGCTTAAGGCTTGAGCTGCCCTTTAATCCAGCCCGCTTTTATTTGTGCGATTTCATCAAAGGACTAGCCTCCCACAAACTAACGTGGCAGTGCACATCTCGCCCTTTTCACCAAAACTCCATCCTGATCCCTGCCGAAACCCGAAAGCCGAAGACTTCCCGCGTGCAGGTGGAAGCGAAGCACATGCCGAAAAAGGCCCGGCTGCAGCAGCTGGACGCCGTGCGACTGGCCTTCAGCGTCTCTGCCTAAGCCTCCTTGTGACTTGTTTCGTGTATGTGTGTTTTCTTTTTTCCAGGACTCGTTTTTTACTCAGTTGTTCAACACCGACTTTTTATTGACCTTTTCGGGTGCCCATTTCTGGGTCCTTTGAAGTGAGGATTCATCATGAGGGAGGAGAAAGACGACAAGTTTCGCATTGAGGAGCCGGAAATGGAGAGACGAGGGCCGTCGGCAATGTGTAGGAGTCTACACTTGCAAATATTTTGAATGGGGTTACTTTGGAGATGCCAAGAGGGTTGTGTGGATGACTAGGAGGAATCTCTATTCCCGCACCACATGCCCACACATGTTTTCTCGCACGCACTTATTTTGTTTCATCTTATCTGGGCGCAAGCTATCTGCATACATTTGTTTGCATATAGGCACTCTGATCTTTTTTCAGCTATCGCTGTTTGCAAGAGCTGACTTTTCGCGTGGGCTATCTGGTCTTCTGAAGCTGTCTCTCTGCGCAAGCTGCATTTCACGTGTTTCCGTACTTCGGAAGTTCCTTTTAAACTTCCTTTGATGAATACGAAACGTACATATAATCAATTATAGATGCAATGGGTACAAGAGCAGTTTAATAAATCAGTACTTTGCTTTGAGCAATCCCCGCCAAAGAAATTTGAGATTCCCTTCATCGGGGCACTCCGGTTCTTGAGGGGCCAGCCAGGCAAGCTCTTGCAAACATGGGCGGGTGGCAGCTCAGTTGAACGTGTGGGTCACAGGCTAGTCGCTCGATCTTTCTCATCCTGGGTCGTGTGCCTCAGCATAGTTTCAGCAGCTTGCACGCTTTTGCCTGCGTGAGACGCGCACGCTCTCTTGGCGCCTGGACCTCTGTCACACAAACAGCGGAGTGGCCACATCTTGGAGCTCCGACGAAATTTCAGCCAAGTGGCCCAGCATGCAACAACGAAAGCTCCTGCAGGGTGTTTCTGTGGTGTTCCGCTGCCACCAAAATGCCAGACCTGGAACGCACATCCGGCACGGGACACCACCTTCCGTTTAAGTTGGGTCGACCACTGCGGAGCCGGCCAGGAGTGCTTGTGGCTGTTGCAAGATGCCCTTACTCACGCCAACACGTCCCGCACCTCGCCCCGCGTGGAATTGGAGGAGACTGGCTCACAAAAGAACTCCAGCCAATCATTGTTTGGTTTTGTAAGGATTCCCTTGGTCAGTGTTGAGCCACTTTTGCAACTTTCGGACGAGGCCGCTGCGGCCTTGGGCTGGGGCGATTGTTATAAGGATTGTGTTTTGCAGCCAATACCCCCCCCCAACAACTGGTTTGCCCATGTCCAAGTCTCAAGTGCTGTCCAAAAAGCAGTTGTTCGGGGGTGCTAGAAACATTTTGAGCGCGCGGTTTCTTTGCGTGTTTCCACGAAGACTTTCAACTACATTGCCGCTACAGTTATGAAATACATTTTACAGGGCACGCCCCAACCAAGGCCATGTTTGAGTGAACGTTCTCTTGACAGTTTCAGGGTGTGAAGCGGCATCTTTGCCTTCACTCCTGACAAAACGTCTGAATTTGGGAGGCCAACACATGTACCCATTGCCTCTTGAAAACAGCCCGCGGAGTCGTTCGACAGTCTCTTCTCACGTTCGAGGGTTGGGAAGTTGTGGTTTGGGTTTAGGAAGCTGCGATCCAGACAGCAAAAGTAAGTGTGTCCACTGCCGGGAGTCCCATCTCTTCATTAGTTTTCCTTATGGTCCACTCACTTCCAGTTTTTGAAACAAACAGACGCAGCTGACGTTGAACGCCATACTTGGTCAGTGTAATTTTCACTGACACCTTTTCAAGTTGATGTCTAAAGGAACTCATTGATCTGTTGCTGAATTGCGCATGGTTGGATTTAAATGGTCACTCACACTGAGACCGGTGCCTTCCCAACGAATCATATTTTCTCAGGAAAGCCTTTACAGGCCTCTCGCCATATCTATAACCATGTGTGTCCATGTTAGAACCGACCTATACCATGTTGTAGCTTTCATGTCCATGTTATTGTTCTTATTGAGATTTGTGCCGATCCGCATGGCTTCTTTGTGTACCTCACTGCGCCATCTTCGTCGTAAGCCAAGAGGCCCTGGATGAATCTTCCTGGGCCTCAAATCAGCAGCCTTGTGTTAGCAACAGCTCATGCAAACTTATCTCAGAAGCTGGGTGTTTCTCGATTGTCCCAAGTGGCACCCTTTTCCCTCTTTGTTTGGTTGGCTCCCACCAAACGTGAACCGCCAACCCGAAAGAAAGGGCCAGCTGCAGTTGTTCACTCTCTCCACCCCCCGGCCCCCACGGCGGCAAGCCACTTTGAGGGTTTCTCAGTTTGAACCCCGAAGCGAGGCCGACTGCAACACTTCGAGATTTTCAAAGATGAGCCTTGGTGGAGAGCGTTTTAGCGGCTCACATGTGGGTGTGTTGTTTTTGAGGCTCAGCACCCTGTTGAGGGGTGTATTAGAAGGAAACAGACCGCCTATTTTTGGGGTTGCCCGATTTTCATAACAATTTGGCAGGGAACGTTAGGGGACGCACTAATTGTCCTATGTCCTTCTGGGGGAATTGACCGGGCCTGCTGTGCTTGGATTTGAAGATATCAGGAAACCCAGAAGCATCAGGAAACCCCAGAAGCCGGTTTTAGGCTCACCCGACTTCTTGAAAAGCACGAGCGGAGTGCATATGTATATTTGAAAGAGAGATGCGTTCTTACTTTTGCGGTCAATGGACACAAACAAATTCAAACAAAGGAGTAATTTCAGAGCATGATAAAGTGTACTTCCGAAGAATATCTATATCTAGATCATGACTATTCGCCGCTATCGCTATGCACTTAGTGTACTAGACTCGTAGTGAACAGTCGGCGGAGGCACGCCCAAAACACTGGGATCAGGGCCAGGCCACCGAGGGATCACCCTGCACATGGTGTCGCACGCATTGCGCGTAGCCTCACAGCCTAACACTCCGCAACTCCAATCACGCAAGGGAATTTGCTCTTGATGTGGTCAGACACGCATTCTCGCACGTGTGCTACAGCTGCATGGCGAGCTGCAGCGAGGGATCTTGTAACTAGTTGCGTGCAGACAAAAAGTGTAGCCATGGGTCAAGAATGGCTTTGGCAGCCGGTCCAATCCTCAGATGTACTGAGTCTGAGCAACTCCACTCACAGAGAGCCAGTGGGCTAGCTGACCTTGGGTGCTGCTCCCGGCGTCTGTCGCCCAGTCTCGACAAGGGCTGCAGTCAAGTTGGTGCTCATCGCTGTGTGATGCAAGCTCTTTGTTGGTCTCCGGATATATCTCCAATGTTTCCTTGGGCCACAGGGTTCAAGCTGTCGGATCGCAAAACTTTGCTGTGACCACCTAAACCTCATTGCACAAGGACCTTGGCCTTGCTCGCAGGCACAACCCCAAAACGATGGCCTGCATGGTTTTGTCCGCCCACCTTGTCCACCACCGCGTGACCTTGGTCTAGGCGGTCCAAAACTTCGAGTGGTCTGCGCCGCTCTGCCCCTGGCAGGCCCCTCCCACAGCTGCCACTGACCGGCTTGCACGCAGGTATCACAGGAACTCCATCTTTGGGGTAAGGGAGAAGGGTAAGTTGCTAGACATCAACCGCTTGCAGTCCCTGGTGGAAGACATCCATCAAGAAGCACGCTCCACCCGATCCAAGCACTGTCACAAAACCTTGGTTGGCTGTAGAGTGCATAATCAGCTACCCTGTTGCAACCAACTTAGACGACTTGCAACCTTCATGGTAAGTGGTTTACAACCAGGGTTGCTCACCACTGGACCGTCTCTGTTGCGCTGGGGTCTTCTTGGTTGATCTGACGCAGAGCCTGCTGGACCTATGTGTCTTGGGGATTTCGTCCTGGCACCTGCATGTACGTGTCCTCCGGGGCAAGGTATGGTGAGAAAAGATGGCGAAGCCGGGTGGGGGGGAGAAGTTTCAAAAGGACTGTTGGTTGGAGTGATTCTTTCCCCTTCTCGTGCCTTCCTTCCCTTTCGCTTTCTCTTTCTCTTTCTGTGACTCTCATTCTCCCCCTCGTTCTGTTTTCAGCCGCAAAACACCGAGTTTTTGAAGGTCCACCCGCTGAAAGCCAACAAAGGGTTCTAGAGCAAAGCGGAAAACGCACAAAACTGCCAGTTTGGAAGGTCGACCCCATCAAAGTCCGCATATGCTTGAAGGTTCACTGCTCGAAAACCCACAAAGGGTTCACCGTTTGGACTGGATGTTATGAAACTGCACATTTCACAAACTGGGGGATGTCAGAATTTTCATTTACAATACAAAGGGCAAGTTCTGCGGAACACGTGTTCCCTTCTCAGGGGGCCCGCGCTAAAGGGAATCCAAGTTCCAAGGTGCTGCCAGAGGGCCTAAAGTATAGCATCAGCATCCACGACTGGTTGTCGGCTATGGAGGAGTGGTTTCGCATCGATTCGGATTCGAATCGGAGATGCCATGGTTCGGTGCAGTTGAACTCAGCAAGCCACATCTTTCATTCCCCTTGGAAGCGTTCATTCCTGAGCATCTCAGTGTCCAGGTTCCCCGGTGGATGATGGATTTCGCAAGGATTGCTCATACTGTTCGGTTGCTCAACAGGCTCGGATGCTTCCTATGCGATGACGGCTGGCTTTGCATACAGGAACTACTTTTGACGCCTTCTCGCAACTGCACTCTAAGATTTTGCCACCGGCATGAGCTCAAAGCTCACCGGCTGAACCCAGCCATGAAGATGTATGAAGATGGGATTCAAATGGGAGCAAATGTTAAACCTGTTGACCTGAAGTGAGATCATATGCGCGCGCGTGTCTTTGTGTGTGTGAGAGTGTGTGTGTGTGTGTGTGTCTGTCAACACGGCGTGTTGTTTGTACCAAGGGCTGCAATGTTCTGGACTCAAGGCCGGTATGTAGAACGATGAAAGGTGTAGGGTGCATGCACTTACCATATTTGTCCTATACACGATATGGGATTATATGGGTGTTTGTGTTTTGGGGGCCCAAAATGGGTACTGGCTTGCTGAACCACTTTTTTACCCTTTGGACGCCATTTTAGTGGTAAACAGAACGTTCAGACTTGCCTGGGCCATCTACCATCAGAAAGTGAGCTGTTGTTGGCTGGGATGTATGTGTAAAACCCTACTCTGGGGACAAACCACACACCAACAGATGCAGGATAGCTTGCTGGTGCTCAGTATGGAATGTGTATGAATCAAGGGGCTGAAAGGAAACCACAAGGGGCTGTTTATGGGGGCCATTCCCTCATTCCCTGCTGAACACCAGCAAGATGGTGTCTATCCATAGTAGTGACGTTCAGCCGCCTGAATGAGGCATGGCAAATGCAGGCAGATGCACTGCCTTCGTTTGACGTGAGAGAAAATCAAGAGGTCCCAAACACAGTGAGCAGTCGGGTCCCTGTTCCCCATGGCCCAACGAAGACGTCAGAAGGCGGCAACACTAATACGGGGATGTGTTAAAATAGGGTGGCCTCTCGGTTTGCCTTGAATTTGAGCCAACCGCAAAACTGGGTACTCTCAAAGGCCACATGTCTTCTGGTCCTTTCTTGTTTCCGCTTCTGGACCAAGGCAAGACGCTCAAGTGTTGGATGCTGATTATAGGTTCAGAGGAAGATTGGTTTACGCACGCTGTTGCAGTCTGCCAGGATTGGTATGTGTTAGAAGAGAAGAACCCTTAAATTGGTTCTCCTCTTGGTTTCTCTCTAAACCGAGGCGAAAAGGATAGAGGCTGGAACGCCAGGGGGCTGTGTTTTTGCAAGCCAAATGCCTTTTAAGTAAAAACTTGAACGAGTTACGAAGTTTGTTGTACGTAATTTTTTTAGCATAGCTGTTTAAGCTTCTACAAATCGTGGTTTAAGCTTCTACAGATCGTGGTTGCTTGAACGCAGACGCAAAAAGTCACCGTGGTTGGCTGGATAGTTCCTGGGCATGCTTCGAGCGCCGCTAGAGATTATATATCTACCACTAGAGCAAAGGACATGCCGGACATATGACCAACACATGATAAGTAGGTGAACACACAAAATTGACATGAACCAGTACATGCGTCTAATAAAGTAGGCGCCGTAAACGTTGACACTAAGGGTATGTTAAATATGCTGGGCAAATGATAATCATGTACTGGTTCTAGGACTTTTTAGGTCAAAATTGGGCGTTGCTAGAAAACAATGCTTGAAAATGCCAAGTATGATAGACGATTGTTGGGCATATGTTGGAAAATCATTGCAACATGCTAGGGGTCTAGGGGTGTGCTGAATATGTGATAGAATTACAGCAGACATGCGACCTATGCTTGGAGTATGTTGGGTACATGCTACGTACGGTAGACACATGCCGTTACAGTCTAGGAACTCCAAAAGCTCGAGATGAGGCATCCTCTAGGGAACAAGAGAACACATCAAACAGTTCTACACACAACACATGCTTCATGAAATTCAGTTCCAAATGATGCATCTCTTTATCAACCAGTCTAATACATCTCTACATCGAATGAATTCTACATTGAAACGCGTATGCTGCAAGAAACAAAAACAGGTTTTATCAGAATATGGCAGAAATTAGAATATTCTACTGCAGGGGCAAACCCCACGTGCCCCTTAAGCCATGGAGTCTTTGCGTGTGGTTGTCTCAATGGTCTGGGCTGGAAAAAAAGCAAACATCCAGCAACACCTCCAGGAACCCAAACAATCACAAAAACAAAACAAAGTGCAGACCTCCATCCCTTCAAGTTTGCAATTGTGTTTTTGTTTTCTTGTTTCTGTCACCAAAATTCTCTAGAGCCAAAAAAAATGGAGACAACATTTGTTTGTCGTATATGTTTGGTTTTCTCGATGTTTTGCTAGATTTCATCCCAAAGTGCCGAAATACTCGAGAACACCAGAACAACTAGAAAGCAGACTCTAACCCCCTTGGGCCGACCCCAAGTGTGCAATCTTGTATTTTCTGTTTTCTTGCATTTGCAGACCCTGACCCGCTTGGGCCTATCCCCTTGCGGTCTGCATTTTTTTTGTTTTCTCTGGTGGTTGGCACTTTGGGTTGAAATCCACACTGCAGACCCCCAACCCCCTTGCCCTTCCCCTTTAAGTTTGCAATTTTGTTTCTGTTTTGTTGTTCGGGTTTTCTTTGTTCTTTGATATTGATGATTTGGGTTTGGTTTTTTACTGTCATTGCTGCCTGCAAAATCACAGCCCTCATGGCGCCCCTTCTGAAAAGATACGCCCGAGAGCGCACCCCTCAATCCCTGGTTAATAGTGACTTGATTGAACCGTTTGCATGGATTTCATGGCTCGAATGCCCTCGAATGCCGTCCAAGTGGATTTGTAGGTCATGCCTGGCAAACCTAAGCCTGGTTACTAGAGTCAAAGTTTGTAGAAGAGATCGTGTGAACAGCTCACATGTTTGGCCAACATTTAAACAATCGATCGACTCGCGTGAGGACTTAACCACCAGATCTGTCCAGCAGCTTCCGGGCGTGTTGCCTCAAATGGGATCCGGTGAGGTCGACCTGTACCGACGTCGCATTTTTTGAAAGGAAGACATGGCGGTGGCGGTTGCTTGCCAGCGGCTTCTGTTGGTGTAGAGGGAAAGCATAGGGCAAACAGTCGGCTCATTGGGATGCCAACTTATTTCAACAGTTGTCCTTCGCGGCCAGCGAAGCGAGAGAATGGGGTGTTTCCTTTTGTTTGTGTTTTTTATTTGACAAGTTGTTGCAGTGTATTCAAGACACACTTCCTCGTTATACTTTCGCAAGGTCAACGCGTTTTCGACCTTCAGAACAGGGTCCCAGAGTCACACGTCACAGACAACTAATGCAATCATACTCATGACCATGAGGATTGCACCTGGCCAAGGAAGATGTGTACCAGACGAGCGAAGTTTGGAATGGTCGGTTTACAACTTCTTGGTTCCCTCCAAGTCACTGTACTTTGGTCAGATTTCTCTTTTGCATTGTACGTTGGGCCCTTTCTGGTTGGCCTCACCTGCGTTTGGGTTTGTCGCATGGGAGGGTTTTCAAAATGTGTTCCTTGGTTTGCCTTGAGCCGACCCCTAGATTCGTGTTCCCCGGGTCATTTCCAGTGCACCTAACTCTGAGAAGCTCTGGGACCCGGTTGGAAATCCAAAACCGGACACCACGCACTTGTAAGTTTGCCCTGTGGATCCCAGTGACCACTTTTGTAGGTAAGCAGCCATTGGTTACCGGAATCACTGGGTTAGAGATGATTCGTCAAAGGGTCCACTTGAAATGAGTTCAAGTGCTTCGGCCCATTTTTCTTTGACTTCGCTGATCCTGCCAAAATCGCCGGGGCCAAAGACACACCCTGGAAGGGTAATTCCAGCGTGGAGGAAGGCGTCGGGGAAAAAGGTCCATCCACCAGCGTCCTTTCTAACTTTAGACAGCGTGTTGCAAGGAAGCCTCTGTTGTGTTTTCTAGATGTTGGGCATGTTTCTTTGGGTGTTGATCGACCCACCCTACTTCAACTCTCAACAGTTGTTTTCAGTGTGGCAGCCGCGCACTTTCTCTTTTGGTTTTCTGCTGAAACTTGATATGACAAGTTGTTTGGTGGGAACCCATGCCAGTTTTACAATGGGCCAGGCATCTTCAGAGAGCTTGTGCCGTCATTTGTGGGCCCTCTCACCCAACAGTTCACTGCGCTCCAACCTAGGATCTCTCTTTCGGGTTTGCGGATCGCCTGGCATCTGAGGCCGGAAGTGGTTAGCAACTACACAGTTCGATGACGACTTCGACTTCGACCTGGGCTCGATCCTAGGCTTCGATTCCTCATCAGAGCAAGGCCGAGTGAAAGTTGGGCAGATGTGTTGCGAATTGTCCCAGAAACCGTGTTGGGAGCTATTGGTTGGCAACACGATTTGCCAGGCCAACATTGGCACCGCAAAACGGGCACTGAAGGCCAAGCTTGTGGAACGTTTGAGACTTGCCCCTTACCAGAATGGCAGAACAAATGCACCACCCCGGGATTTAGGGTGGAATATTGGCGCAAATCCTTATCTACGATTCGGCGTTTGCTTGGCCGAAAAGGCGGTCTCGAGTTGCCGTACAGCCTGTATAAAGTCGGAAGGTTCTGATCTGAACAAGCGTTACTAGTACGTAGTAGTAGTAGTAGTAGTAGTAGTAGTAGTAGTAGTAGTAGTAGTAGTAGTAGTAGTAGTAGTAGTAGTAGTGGTAGTAGTAATAGTAGTAGTAGCAGTAGTAGTAGTAGTAGGAGTAGTAGTAGTAGTAGTAGATCCTGAATTAAGGCCTGGCAGGGATCTTGGATGACTGAAGTAGTGCTTTGGGATTGTGACTTAATTTAATATTGCCAGCACTTTCTAGTGGTCTGCCAGAACTTCGTTCAATATTGCCTAGTCTAGGTTTAGTATTGCCTGGACTTACTCTCAGATTCCGAGTGCTTTGTGTAGTATTGCCTAAGCGGTAAGCAGTCAGCAGTAAGCAGTCAGCAGTAAGCCATAAGCAGTACGGAGGAAGTAGAAACTAGGACGTAGGAAGTAGGAAGTAGGAAGCAAGCAGTAGGTAGCAGTAGTAGCAGCAGTAGTAGTAGAATAATTAGTAGTAGTAAGTAGGCGAGCAAGAAAGCAAGCAAGCGAGCAAGCAAGTAAGTAAGTAAGCAATCAAATAAGTAGTATGTAGTAGTAAGCAGTAGAAAGTAGTAGCAAGTAGCAGTAAGAAGTAGTGAGTAGTAGTCAGTAGTTAGTGTGTAGTACGTAGTCAGCAGTAAGAAGTCGTTAGTAGTAGGTATAGTAAGTAGTAGTAAGTACTATTAAGCAATAGTGAGTAGTAGTGCGTAGTAGTAAGTAGTAGTCAAAGCAAGTTTAGAAGGAACTTCCGTGTTACGGACACTAATTGAAAGGTAGCCTTGTGCGAAGATGAGATTAAGAAATAATGAATGCATGCGAGAAAACCTGCTTGCGCGTGTGGCGGGGGAATAGAAATCGCGAAAAAGAGCGACCCTCTGCGTGTTTTGGCGGCTCCGGCGGGCTGAAAGCTACCTCTGTCGCGACGTCTGACGGACGATGGTCGGGCCGGTCTCGGGACGGTCTCGGAACAGGGCCGGACCCGGGCGCATTGGCACGGATGCGCGCGCTTGCTGCAATGTCAGTTTTGTGTGACAGGCGCAGCACTTTGGCGTTTCGGTTGCATGTAATTACATGGCTCAAAACAGTTGCATCTGTGACTTGGGTACACGGCCATACACACACACACCACATGACAAAGCAGCATCCAACTGTACAAAGCTTCATGTCTTTTGTGATCAAACCGGGTCGGTTGGAGCCAAAGCGAGTTTTGACTTTTGGGGAGACTCTGAACAAAGGCTCGTGGACAGGGGCGTGTTGCTGCATCGCTTTGTTTGCCTCCAGCACGCAAGAGCAATGGGAAACGCAAAGAACCATAGACTGAAATCGTTTCAAACTTCCGCCCACCGGCTGCGCCGGCTCTACTGGAAAGTAGTGGGAAGACGCCAAGAACTATAGACTTATATCGTTTGATACTTATGTAGGTAGCAGTAGTAGTAGTAGTAGTAGTAGTAGTAGTAGGTAGTGGTAGGTGGTGGTAGGTGGTGGTAGGTGGTGGTAGGTTGTGGTAGGTTGTAGTACGAGCAGTAGTAGTAGTAGTAGTAGTAGTAGTAGTCGTAGTAGTGGTGGTGGTAGTAGTAGTAGTAGTAGTAGGTAGCGGAAGGTGGTGGTAGGTTGTGGTAGGCAGTATAGTAGGGGGGTAGTGGTAGTCGTAGTTGTGTCGCAGTCGCCGTCGTAGTCGTAGTCATAGTAGTAGTAGTAGTAGTAGTAGTAGTAGTAGTAGTAGTAGTAGTAGTAGCAGCGGCAGCGTCAGCGGTAGCGGCAGTATTCGTGGTCGTGGTGGTGACGGCGGTGTTGGTGTCGCTGTTATTGTCGGGAGGCGAGGACTCCGATGACAGCGACGGCAAGCCAGCGGAAGAAGCAGAACATGTGAAGAAAGGCAAAAAGCACGCGCCCAAGTTTGTGTACCAGCCGAATAAGGCCGGCTGGTTGCGTTGGTATATTTTTCCGGCGGGTCCAAGGAAGCGTGTTGGATGAAGGTTGACCCCGGGTTGATGTTTGTTTCTCTGGCAATGCTGGTTTGTAGCCTGCCAGGCAATGGCGACCTGCGATCCGTTGGACTTTTGAAAAGGCATCGAGATGCGCAACGCCGAAACCTCGTTTGTGTCAACCCATGTGACATGGGAAGATTCAGCAGATTCCAGTGACGCCTGTTCTTTCGGAGATACCCAGCATGTTCATAACTTTTCCATCGAACCTCAATCAAGCAGCTCGCCAGTTCGATGTTCACAGCCCCCAAAACATCTCACCGAGGTCTATTGTGGGACCCGCTGTTCCAGGATTTCATCATGCTGAAAAAAGTTCTGTGCACACATGAGCCCCTCAGCCATATACAGCACAGCCATATGCACATAGCATTCACTGCGTGTGGATTGCGCAGCATGTCCTGCGCATGTCATGCTGTGTTGTGTGTCCCCCATCATACAGCAGCGTGCGCCGCCATAAAAGGAGTGCACCGCCCCCACTGTCACAACTATTGTCAGGATCCATTCAGCCCTATTTGACTGAGAAATTCGCCGACGGCCCTTCAGGACCCATATGAGGAGTAGGTTGGGGCTTGGTTGGCCGGACCCCAGCATGCGTGGACCTTCCGGCTACATGGAGTCGTCGCAGAGATGTACACGGCGACGTTGAACAGTGAGGAGCTGCGAGAGACCATGGGGTGTTGCGTACTTCAAGGACACTTTGGGGCAGCGTTTCGTGAAGGGTTACAACTTGTGATTCTGTTGCATTTCCCGATGTTATCCTGGAACTAAAGAGACGAAACTATGGCGTAGCCGCTTCGAGACCGTGGCCAAGCCAAGGCAGTCATGAGTGCCTGCGTGGACTTCTTCCAAGAGAAGGATGTCAACGACCATGAATTCCTTGATGCGCGCATGCACGCACATCAGCTGCCAAACGTGGAACCGATCAAGCAGCTGACACGCAAGCCGCGCTAGCGGCAGCGTGCGCGGAATACAGCACGAGCACAGCGTGTGACCAGACGACTGGACTGGTGTTGGTCGCGCTGGACCGTGTGCGGCTGCATGCCTCCCAGAAACCGGTGGCCGGATTAGAGGCCCTGATCCCAGACTGAAGGCTCCTTTGCAAAGGCATCCCTCAAACGGTGCTAGCAGGGGGCCATTCTCCATGATGGCTAAGAACGATTGAGGATGATGACGATGTTGATGATGAAGTGTGCCCCCTGCATGTCCAGAGGAAGTAACATTTGAAATGAAAGAAATAGAACAGCTGGAAATCGAGTTAAACAGGATGGACATAGAACAAGCAGAGCAGTATGGAAACAGAAAATCATGATATGACAATGGCACCTCTCTGGCGACGCAGGGGGTGTGTAATCATCATCATCATCATCATCATCATCATCATCAGCATCATCGTCACCGTTTTTCGAGTTTTCTATTTCTATGCTGCCTGTTTGCATCTCTTTTCTACTTCTGAAGGTTTCAACAGTCACGTTTGGCACCTCTGCAGGAGATGCGCACTCATCGTCGTCATCATCAGCAGTATCATCCGCTGTGGCAATGCTTTGGGTGAAACTATGTTCGTCATCATCCCTCCGGTGATGCAGCAGATGCGTAATCATCATCATCCTCACCACCCTCCACCTCATCATCGCCATGATCTTCTCATTCTTCTTTGTCGTCATTCTCCTCATCATCCTATCATCATGCCATCGTCATTGTCATGGTCATCACCTTCTTCACGCCAGCGCCATGCATCATCATCATCATCACCATCATCATCATCGAATTTGACATTTGGTTTCAATAGCACAACAACACCAGCGAGCCAATGATGATGATGAAGATGATGACCTGATGACAGGTTGTGATGATGATGAAGATGGTGAGGAGGAGGATGGCTAGGATGATGGTGGTAGGAACCATGATGAAGATGACTTCGCAGCCCCAGCATGCCTATAACGGCACACTTGAATTCCATACAAGACAAGGGAAGGACGATGATGACAATCCTAACTACGGTCGCGAAGATGGCAATCATGACAATCATCGCTAGGCGCCCCCAGCGTCGCCAGCGAAGCGTGTGCCGGGAATGCCGAAGAGGATGATGACCGCAATCATAGTAAGGATAATGACCATGATGATGGTGACGGTGATGATGATCATGATGATGATGACTGCCATCATGATGAAGATGACGCAGCATCACCAGCAGTGATGATGGCAATCATGACTACGCATCCCCAGCATGCCCAACGCTGTCTAACGGCAAGCTTGAATCGTATATAAAGAAAGTTGGCGGCGAGGAGACAAGCGTACGACTACTGGCAGGATCAACCAGGGTGATTCACCGTCACGCGCGCGCGCGCAAGTATCACTGTGATGACCTAACGTACACATGCCCAGCATCGCCATTGGCGATGATCATGATAACGGAGCGTAGTGACAAAGACAAAGAAGATTAAGAGGATGATGATGATGATGATGATGCTGCTGATGATGAGATGATGACCACCCTTCCCATGCGCCTCGCCCTTGCAGCCAATGGGCCGGCAGATCGACAGTGCTATCATGCAGCAGCTTGAGCCGCAACACACAAGTGCGCCGCCTCCGCTGTCAACAGCTGACCGTTAGCCAGGGTCCATTTTGCCCTATTTGCTGCACAGGGGGAGGGAGGGGCGTGACACGCGTACGATGGCGCTTGCAAGCTGTTTGGGAAAAGAGCTATGGATGGGTTAGTGTTTTTGTGTCTCGACCTTTTGCCCTTAGGCCTCTGGATGCTGAACTCCTATGTTTTGATTTTCTTAAAGGAGGCCAAAACAAAACTTATGTTTCTTGAGCGCCTTTTCTTTGCCACCAAAGTCTAGCTGTTTTTTGGGCCTTTGTGATTTGAACGTGCTCAAACCCGCCTGCCTGCGCACATGAGTTTGCCAGTAAGGCGATGGCCACAAACCGTACTCGATATTGCGTTTAGATGCTTGAACATGCTAAGTTCAGTAAGAAGCGACCATGGGGTCGCGCTCCTGAATTTGAACCAGCAACCTTTTGGTGGATTTCATTTAAGTTCCGTTTGTGGCATTTTTGTCACATTTCGTGATTCGCGAGTATTTCCTCGAATCTGGGGTCTCAAAAGTTTTTGTTTTCGAGGGTAAACTTAATCCTGTATCAGGTTGGAAGGCTTGGGTTTACAGGCTTCATTCTGCAAGGAGTGTATTGGATCATGCGGGGCCTTTTGGCTCAAGTATGATCCAAACTGGCTAAATTTTAACTTCTGGTTTTGCGTGTTCGGCAAGGGTTACTTGTCGAATGTTGGCAGTTCCAGGAGTTGGCTTGGCCGTTCACACGGATCGGCCACTCTTGCGCAGGCGCCTACCGACTTCAAGCGCCATGTGGGCACTTTGCTGGAGCAGGGGAATCATGGCCAGGCCCGGCTGCTCTGGCTTTCGGCTGTGGAAGTGTTGCATGCCCCCTTCATGCAAACGCCCCTGCCCGTGGCCGACAGCGGGGAGATACCCCAGGCGGCTTCAAGTTCCCGTTCATTGGCACCTGGTGTCGGCGTGCAGTGTTTTGCGCCTACTGCGGCAGCAGGGCTCATTCTGTTTGCGCATCATGCGGCATCCACCAATGCGAAGCCTGCCCCATCCGTTGCTGCCAAGGCTCTACGCTGGGGGGTGCTGCTCTTAGCCATGGCGTTTCGCGGTGACGCCACTCCTGGGCGCTATGCCACAGAAGCCATGGAGCACTCCGGGGGCGACCCGGGCGGCTCTGGCGAGGGGCTTATGTCTCGTGTTCAGGAGGCCAATGTTCGTGCCTTTCGGCAGAAGCACGGGCTGATGCAGGACTCCGACTTCGGCTTCGCCTTTGAGGCCTTCGAGGATGCCGTCCGCGTGGGTGGCCACGCCGCTGAATGGGCGCGGGTGCGGGCGGAGCAACAAGCCCACCTTCTCCCGGCAGCTGCGGCAGTGGTGGAGGTGGATCCCTGGCGAGTGACGCCGGTGGGGCCATCGACCCTCCGCCGGCCGGCGGTGCGGCTCCCAACGAGCAACGTGGGCCTGCGGTTGAGGCAGAACCCGGACAATGCCGAGGCGGTCGGCCGCAGGGTCAACCTGCTGACAGAGGCCTTCATGAAGCTGGACGTCCTTCAACCTCGGAGGCATGATGACCCGAAGCGGACTGGCAGCAAGCGGTTCGGAGACTTGCTCAGGAACGAGTCACCCAGTCTGAGGCGACCACAATCCTGAACGCGGTGAGGACGTTCCAGGAGCTCTCGCTCTTCCTCGCAGCCAGGGACGTGCAGGACCCAGAGGAGTTGGACTTTCACGCCTTCCTCGAGCAGGCCATGTCGCCCTCGCGAGCGCTGCAGTCTTTGCGCTGGCTGTCCAACAATGGCAGGTTGCAGTGGCAGCTGGACCGCCTGAAGCCCCCCAAGGTTATTGGGAAGGTGCGCAAGGCGAGGTCCCAGGCTGTGGTGGTGGAACCGCCCATGCTGCTCACCCTGGAGGGCAAGATCATCGAGATGCAGCAAGCCCGTTTCGTCGTGGCTCGTGGCAGCGGGCTGCCTGCGCTACAAGCACCTGAGCCAGTCCGGTGAAGATCAGCAGGTGGCCACTGCCACAAGGGGAAGCAGGCCCACAACCGACAGGGATTCGACTGGTGCGCACCAGCCCGTTTCTCTAACGGTTGGCACTGGGCTGACAAGTGGCTGGAGGACTACCAGGGGCTGGCGCCGGAGAAGCACGACAAGTGCGGCATTCTGCTTTCACCCGGGCTTGGCCCATTTGGGAGGTGCAGAGGGTTACTCAGCACCTCTACCACGGCGTGGTGGAGCCCCTCGAGCAGCCTAGCTATTCCTGGAGGCGGTTGCTGCCGACAGTGGGCTCTTTGATCCGCCTTCAGGACTCCGAGATCGTTTCGCTGGGGGACTGGCAGAACAAGGTCGAGGAGCACGTCTCTATG